GCATTGAAAGTGGGAAGCATGGAAGAAAGGGATAGTTTAGATAGTCACAGAAAGAATAACCTTTCTAGTCTGGATTTATTTTTTTTAATATGCATGAGTAAGAGAAAAATAATAAATACTGCAGAGACATTTATGTTTGTATGTCGTGCTAATGTTGCGCTCTCTGTTGCCGAGATTTGGAGAAATGAGAACAATGGATATGCAAGCTGCACGAGCCTCCTACAGCTTTCCAAATAAACATGATTTTTACATGACTCATTTCAAAGGCTTGACTCTGAGTTTGACTGAAAGTAATCACAGAAAGAAGGAGCCTGAAACACCATCCTTTAACATTAGATTACTCATTCACCATCCATACATTTATACATAAATACACACAAAAGAAGGCCCTGTTAAATATAAAATAATTAGATGCACACACATCCAAGCATTAGTGCTATACTGGAGAATTATCTCATGTTTATTTGGCACCTATGACAAACAAGACAACAATTACCTAACGTATTATAGTGGAGTATGTGAAAGGATCTAAACTCTACACATCTGATATTACCCTGCATGAGAAGAGACTATTAAGCATGCCAAGATCTTTATTTCACAAAGAGATGTACCACAAAAAGCCATCAGACGGCACACAAGAAAAGTTCCTTCCCACACACACAAACACAGATGTTTGGTTTGGATTGTTGAAAAAAAAGACATGGCATGCAACTCGAAAGCTTAGTGATGCGAACAAGCATGAAATGTTGGCAGCCTGCGACGGGCACTGAGTCTGGTGAGTTGAGACAGAGCAGAGAACAAGTAAATCAATGAGAAGGGTTCTGGCTTACACAGCAAGTAACATTAAGCATGAAGAATGTAAAGTGCAAAGTTCAAGAGCAGAAAGCAAATACTGACTGTGTAAGGAATCAATCATTTGTGTGTGTTTTTAGGGATCACATTCAGTAATAAGTGCACTATATTTCGGAGGCAAACAGCGTTTTCCAATACGATGCAGTGTGTAGTGAAAGTGCACAGGTAACCACAAGATTCAAAATACAGTATATGGCTGTGTCTACAGTCACTCTTTAGTTACTTTATTGTGCACTATATTTGCAAGTGAATATGTTTGGCCCTGTTCTTCATAGAAAAAAAACATAATATGCAATGTCTGTCTTATTTATACAGCCCAACATCACAAGTTTGCCTCAAGGGGCTTTACAATCTTTACAGCATATGTGACACCATCTATCCTTAGACCCTCGATTCAGATAAGGAAAAATTCCTAAAAACATTACTTTAACAAAGAAAAAATGGAAGAAACCTCAAGAGCAGCAACAGAGGAGGATCCCTCTCCCAGGGCTGACAGACATGTAATAGATATGAACAGTGTATGAGAGCGATGCTGGAGTATCTGTTATTTGGTAGTGTCAAGATGTACCAAAAATAATGAGTCAACAAGCAACAAAAACAACTGCTCCTTTCCCAAAAACAGTGCAGCAGTGTTTTTAATAATTTCCAGTAACTTTTAGTAGAATATCCTACAATTAATTCAACATGTTTTTGTGTTGAACAAATTGTACCCTTAATATATTTCAGTGAAGCATCTTTTCATGAGAGTTGACTATATAATGAAGGCAGTTCGAGGATCTGGAGAAAGGAGAGCAGGGGCTGCTTTAACCTGACCAGATTGTGCTGAACTCCCAAGTCACCAGCAGGTCAATATGGGTTAGCCTCTGTTCAAGAGACAGATTTTCTCCCCTTGCAGAGAAATACACTTTAGATTTAAGATGCATTTTTTACAGTTGGATGCTTGAAGTAGCAACTACAAAATGGCTACACAAAGCCTTTAACTTCCGCACAATATATAATTTCATGCAAGCTTCAGGAAAGACCTTATTCAGGCAAACAGAATGGAAGAACACCTCGGTGTATATATAGATCTGCCAGTAATTAGCCCAAATGCAAAACATCTGTGTATCCCTAACACATGATCACACTCAAGAGTTCTGGTCACATGGAATGCAGGGACTACAAAAATGAAGGGTAAAGGACAAACAAAGAGGAAACACATTTAAAATGTATGTTAAAATGTACAGATACCTTTGTTATGTCATAGATTTGTGCACATATTGCATTAAAATAGCTTTACAACACACAACCAGTTGAATATTAACAGTATTTATGAAGTGAAATCATTTTTCACTTCCATTGAAAACATCATTTTTATTTAAAAGTAAAACAGACACATGGACATTCTTAATTTTGATCTGACTCATCACAGTATTTGAACCTCAGTAGTTAGTTGTAAGTAGTTGACTTGATATGACGATGTGCAGAGATATTTATAATTTAGTCAAATTATATTAGAGATGACTTTGAGTAACATCTCTAGGGGCCTGCTAATTACATCAGTGACTGTGCTTTCACCTGTAAAGGCATATTTTAGCAGCTCGGGGTGTACAGTCATTGTCACGTTATTCATATCTGTGTAGACATTTATGATTGGAGGATGTCTTACATGCAGTGAGCCTGTTAGTATTACTTATTCAAGTCTGTGTGTGTACGAAACAGAGATTGCAATCTTTTCAATCTGAACAGAGGTCTGTGTCTGTGTGTTTGTGTGTGGGTGTGACTGTGTGTGTGTGTGTGTGTGTGTGCATAGGTGTCTGTGACCTTATGAACATCTCTGCTGTTACTTTACATTGTATTGTCACAGCATACATGTACTTCATTAAATCTTAAACTTGGGCCTAATGAACCCATGTGGTGCTCACACTGCGATGCTTCTATTTCAGTAACAGACAGGACACTTGGGAACATACTGTATTATTAGGTCTCTCTTCTTGCTAATGTCGATATATATACTGGAGTAAATGCAAAGGGGAGAAGAGCATCTCTTACTTTCAAATGAGAGGGGGAGATTTTGTGCAATTACACAAAAAGTATTTGTGAATAAACTGGTGGATCACAAAGGTTTTCTTGATATTTAAATATTTGTGTTACATGCCTGGGAACAAATCAAAATGTAATATAAAAAAGTATTGGTTTAAAAAAGTTGTGTTACTCAAATGCATGGGGACAGTGTTTTTGATAAGCCTTTAACTAGTCTCAAGAGTACCTGAAACAACACAGAGAAACACCAACATGAATTTTCCCATTGCTCCTTTGTAATTCTATTCTGTGTCAGTTCTAAATATTTAGTGTTGTGGCCTTGCCTTTAGTACATGTGCCAATATTTAGGAGTAAACACTGTGAATGTGGGTAGCACTGCAGCTTTTCATGTGTGTTTGATGAGAACTTGTGAAATGAATGTTGGCATTGCTGACTAATGTTATGGAAGACTTTTATAGACAGCTACAGTCTCACAAACACATAATACAGCAGTGGACATCTTATCCTTGAATGTGAAATACTAATTAAATCATTTGAGAGAGAGATTGTAAAGAAAACAATTTAATAACTTGTTTTCTTTAACTTCTGGTCAGTAAGATAGGAGTTTTCCCCTCCTCACTTTTCCAATTTTTCCGGTCCTTCTGCATATTACTATTGAATGCTATCCTGAATAGAGCTTTTTCATTACAGACAATTTAATGTGATGTAACACAAAAATAGTCTCCAAACAATGCCCCAGTGCACAGCCTTTAATTCACACACACTTACTCTCTCACACTTACTAGGCTAAATTGAAATCTGACAGACACTGTAAATTTTACTGGCTGAAATGACTTAAGCTCATTATACTCACCAGAAATAGTAATAACTGCTGTAGGTCTGTGATGCGAATGTCAGAATCAATGGCTATACAGCACGCTGTGGCAGTCACAGCACATGTACATTTCTACCTCAGCCATTCAATCATAACTCCTTATCATCCCATTGCCATGGCAACTTGGAGCTCTAAGTGTGTGTGTGTGTGTGTGTGTGTGTGTGTGTGTGTGTGTGTGTGTGTGTACTTTGAGGGACAGAAAAAAGGCCAGAAATATCTGAGGTGACTGGCCTTCATCATTTCAGTGACACAGATGACACAGAGTACCTGAAGAAAACTAGCGAAGCTCTCACCTGTCAGATCGGTTGGCTGTGAAGTTCAGTTAACAAATGACGAATGCGAAGATGCCAGGAATGAAAGGAAGAAGAGATGAGACAAAATCAGAGAGACAGACACACAAACAAAGAGACAGAGAGATGCAGAGATAAGTGGCTGCAGAAAGTAAAAAAATCAGAGAGAGGACCTTCTGTGGCTGGCAGGTGGTTTCAACTTTGCAGGACGTCGAGGTGAGTCTGTCAGTGACATGGACCTCATGTTCTCAATCCACAACAGGGGGGACTGCTTTTTTCAGCCCTCTACACTTGTTTTCACATCTTTTTTTCTGAACAGTGGCAGACAGTAATATCACTCTGCAAAGGATACAAAGAGTAATCATGTGTGTAAATCACCACAAAAAAGGGCTTTTAGTGCAATTGCCTTCTCTGTTTAGCTCAGAGTCAGCATCTCTTGATGGGACTTTCGTGTTGCTTCAGAGACACACTTGCACAATACAATAACAATGTATAAAAAAGTTACCAGTGTCTTAATCCAGCACAACCCTAACCCTAATTATTTTGCCATTTTTTATCCATTTTAACCAAGACTGTATTAACAAAGCGCTGTTTTTTCACCATTAAACTAGCTACAGACAATGCCATTCATAGATCCAAGCTGCAAGCCTAGCTAAGACAAGTAGGGAAGTTGATGGATGGTTTGGTGGGTTCACAAGGCTTTCACCCTAGAGCCTGGGTGTTTAAGTAGGTTGATTTAAATCAAATTTGCCTTAGATAATTATCTGCTTTTAGATGACCAATTTTAAGTCTTTTTTTAGTCAAACATTGTAGCCTACAGGGTTTGTTACAGTTTTACAGTACACGAGTCGGCACACCAGAGATCAGGCATCACAGGCTACTGAAATTAAGATCAGCTGACTCCAAACTCCCACCAATTGCATTTAAGTTAATGAGCTGCTCTCTGTATTCTCCCAAGCATGATACCTCATACTTCGGATTCTCCATGCTGCTGCTGCTGGTGATGCTGTTTTATTGGAGTTCTCCAGTACATCATTGCATGTCTAAGAGGTATCTAAATGTGCTTACTGAGCTACTGAGCATTGTGTAATATTTAAGAAGATCTAGTGGTAGAAATTAAGTATAATATGAATTAGTTTGTTTTCGTTAGTGTATAATCACTTGAAAATAAGAATTGTTGTGTTTTCTTTACCATAGATTGACCCTTTTATGTCTGCAGAAGAAGAGGATCCTCTTCCACAGAGTCTGCCATGTTTCTAGCTCAGAACAGACACACCAAACACAGGCTCTAGAGAAGGTCTCCCATCATTTTTGAGAGTTTCATGGCCACCGTAGGTTCTCCTCCAGACGTAGAGGGGTTATCTGTTAGTTTCAACTTGCAATCTAATTTTAAGATGTTGTTATTTGCATGCTGACGTGAGCATTTAGCTCAAAGATCCATCCACTGTGCCTATCAGTACACCCTCACAGAGCCAGTAGCATGGCTGTAGACTCTTATACTTATTAAATAATTGCTAAGCCTCAAAAGTCTAAAAATACATGTACTTTCGTGACTTGATTAAAAAAAATTACTATTCTCAGGGAAGGTGTTGCAAAATGCGGTCAAAAATGAAATGGCACAAAGTTAAGTAAAACCTGGAAGTCCAGTTTATTCAGAGCTTGTGACTTTTGAGTGGTGAGGTTTTGATCTGGAGCCACAGCCAGTCCTGTCCTAACCATCTGCTCTGGTCTGAGGGCCGGGCTGCTGTCAGCACATTGTGCCCCTGACTGCCCTCCCGTCCTCTCTCTCATCCCCTCTCTCTCTCTCACACACACACACACACACACGCACGCACACACACACACACACACACACACACACACACACACACACACTTCCAATCCTCTCCTCCTTTTCTTTCCTACCTCCTCCTCTCCTCTCTCTTTCTTGTTGTCACTCCAGCTGGTGGTTTTCAGTGCGGACTGTCAGATGCTGAGCTCCCTGGTGCGGAGGCGAGGAGTGAGGAGAAGAGGACGAATGGATGAATAAAAGATCACAGGCTAGCTATCACCCTATTCTGTTTTCCAATAAGAAAAAAAACAACCTTCTGACGCAGATGCACATGAAATGAAGTGTTCAGAGACTGTGTGTGAGAGATAGAGAGTCGGAAATATAGTACGAGAGGTAGAATATATGCAGTTTCAAAACACATACAAATAATTCAAAGGCTTTTTCAAAGGTTTCTTGGGGCTGGGTAGCATGAAAAAACTGTTTTTTGGGGGGATTTTATCATCTCTGGTGTCAAGTGGTCATTGTCCTCAGACTTGGAAAGTGCTTTTTCCTTGGATTTTCTGTTGATAAAATCTGACTCAAAATTAATAATTAGAGCTTTTTCCTATTTCGGTTCAGCTCAAATAAATAATACTGTATATATGCCACACTGCTCTTCATGGTAATCACTGCTTCTCTTCATTTTATTCCAAACAAACAACAGTTGGTGGAAGCTTAAAGGACCAGTGTGTAGGATTTAGTGGCATCTAGCTGTTGCAGATTGCAACTAGCTAAATACCGCTTGCCTTCCAAGTATGTAGGAGAAACTACGGTGGCAGTGAAACTATAGCAAGTATTTGTGCGGTCAGTTCTGGGCTACTGTAGAAACATGACGGTTCAACATGATGGATGCAACAGAGGTCCCACTCCTACAGTAGATAAAAACAGAAAAAGAAATGCTACAATCACTGGATTTTTTGGTCTCCCAGTACAATTTAAATGTTTAATATTTGTAGCCAACTCAGTCTTTGTGCATCATCCATGTTTGAACAAGACAAAGAGTCTACAGCCATGTAAGGATGTACATTAGCTAATTAGCAAAAATCACCATGTCATAAAGGGCTAATTTAAATTTTGACCAGGTGATGGCACTAGATGAAAAGTTAAGGCATCCCAAGAGCTCTTACAATTCATCCTGAGAGGGACTTAAATGTCTGGACAACATGTAATGGTAATTGATCCAGTAGTTTTTGGAACCATAAATGTGAGCCTCTGGTGGCACTCGAGTAAAAGTCAGGGGAAGTCATGAGGATACATATTCTGGGAATCATGAACATCTGAACAAAATTACAGGACGTTCCATCCGATAGTTGTTGAGTGGTGGATCAACCAGTCAGTGCCTGTTTTATGTTCCCAAAGTATTTTGTGGTTTCCAAAATATCAAAATAAGACAAAATTTTATTAAATTTTCCGATCATAAAGGCGCAATATTTAAAAATTACACTTTTCTTCTTCCAGACTTTGGTTATTATATCAGAGTTAATTCTGTTTAGTGGACATGATGACTAAGCAGTTGCACATTTTGTTGCTGGAAGGGCTCAACTGAACATGAGTATTTCAATATGCGTGTGTTCAACATGCATGTAGATGTGGCATTGTGTGGTGTCAGACTAAAAAAGTGTTCTGTAATGTCACTCAGTACTCATACGTCTGTACTTTAGGCCTATGTCTGTTTCAATATACCCCACCACCCCCACTGCGTGTGTTGGAATTATGCCCCCCCACCCCGCTATAATTCAAATGTGTCCGGTTGTCCATGGTTGAGAACTTTAAGTCGTTAATACACAGATCAGTAAATCCATATGTTGCAAGAATGTGGCCTTGCAAAACTCTAACTGACAGATCCATCGCCACATATGTTTAAATTTCAAACTTCAAAACCTTCTACTCTGATGATTACACAATTTGCACACAAGAGCTGAAACCTCCTCTGTGTAAACACCACGACCTCCCCACCTGTACTCCCCTCAGAATAAAAGTGAAAGTAATTGTGTTCTTTTCCTCGCCCTAAGGTCCACAGCGTTTCATCCCCGTGGTTAAACGTGGAGCACGCTGTTGTAATTAGAGGGGTTAATATCCCGGGCAGCATCTCTAAATTAAATCTCTAACTCCATGGCGATGCGGCTGAGTGATGCACCTGTTCACGGTAATTACAGATGCAGCCTGGGAGTGGGCTCGTAATGAGTTGGGAAAGTCAAGGTTGAATCACTTTAAAGGCACATCCCACCACTTTGCCAGTAATGTTTTTGTCAGTCTACAAGGAAATTTAAGTCAACTACTGGGAAATGAAGCCTAGAACAGACTCAGCTGTACTTTGTTCCTTTTGTTTTGTTCTATTAATGTTAGCATGCTACCAAGCTACGGTAAGGTTTTAAAGCCTCGGGTTTGGCATTATCGTTTTTTGGAGCCAGCGGGGGCGACGTACTGTGAGTAGAGCTGCACTCATAGGCCGTTTTCACGGAACCAATTTTGACATCAAACACAGGTGTTACCAGTGACACTTATTAAGGCTCTGTTCCATTCAGGCCAAACAGAGTCGGGGTGCTGCTGTTGTACATGTTGGCTCACTGGGAAGGCTCTGCTGCACTAAATGGAACAGAACTTTTATCAGTATAGTTGGTAACACCTGAGTTAACCCTGTATTTCATGTCAAAATGGGTTCAGTGAAAATGGTCTATTGGCTGCGTTTCGACTTGTCCGTAGCAGGGAACAATGGCGGCCTGGTCTCACACCTTCTCGTATTACAGCTAAACGGTACAGTAAAATGTGTTTCTGAAAACATTTGAGTTGAGAAATAGGAAATGCAGAATCCTGTTTCATATTTGATCAGCACTGCCTTGTTTGACAGTTTGATCTGAGTTTCATGCGGTGCGCTGGACAGACTCACTGAGAACGACTTGTCACTCACAAGGTAGCAACGCCCCACAGCATACCCTGCTTTAGCATCTATTTTCCTCTAAATGGGAAACCATAATTTACTAAATGAACATAATGCTGTATGTAGGAAGACTTGAAACTAGCAAAGAATGCATGTTTAAGACACTTCCGCATTGTCTTCACTTCTCAGACGTGGAAGCTCAATTCACAAATTATATACTGATCATGGCTAAACATCAGTATGTTAGCATTATCACTGTGAGCTTGTGAGCTGTGAGTGGCTACAATGTAGAGAGGAAGGAAACATTTTTAAAATTCAGTTTCTTTTGGAACAGGAGATGGAGGAGTACCCTTGAAATAAGAAAAGTGGATGGAAAATAAGGGTCAAAAGCTCACATGTAACAGATGAGTCAGTAACAAATATACACAGACATTATGTGAATAGAATCATTAAGTTAAAAGTGAAATACAAAAACTATGCAAAATAACAACATATGTCACAAAAAAATTATATTGGTTGTGTCTCTTTAGTGCTCCTTTATGTTGAATAATATGTGTTCTCACAGCCTGGTGATTGTCACAAACATGCATTTTTGGGCATGGAGAGGCATACATCCATAGAAGAAGTAATTGGAGTTTAAAGTCGGATCATCACTTTTAAGATTGATAAACTAGTTAGTTTATAATAGTTTGATTTAATGACACTGGGTACATTTTGGAGGAACACACTTTGTAATCAAATGTTCTTTCATAGTTGATCAAAAAGTAAACATTTTAGGTTATTAATTAGCCTGAACTGTAAGTAATGGACACTGCACATCTTTAGCACTTTTGATGAAAAGAAGATCTAAGATATGCAGGAAAAACATAATTAGGTCAGGCAATCAGACACACGTAATAAAATTAAAACAGCATGGGATTTATGGAGGACACAAACGGCTGAACCAGCTGAAATAAAAAGTGTTCAGATAGAGGGAAAGACGACATTCCTAACAGGGCACAAATTAAAAATCTAATTTATATATTTGTGGCAGCAGAGAAGCAGTCACTTGAAATTCAGGATGAGGGGTTTAAGAGATTATCAGCTGTAGCAACAGGAAGCTACACAGTGTTTTCGTTGTAAGTCGTGATCTTTCCCTGGTAGAGTTTCACTTTATTGTTGTCGTTCCTCAGTCAGTCTCACTTTAGATTAAATGGTAGATTAAATAGTTTTATTTTGACAATCTCCCAGTATTTAAATGAATGCCATTACACCATAAAGCCTTTCTGTAGCCCTGAAGTCCTCGTCGACGTATCCCGCGCTCTCAGATCTCCTCTGCCAATTTTCTCCAACCCTTTGAGGCTGGCTCTCTGCGTAAGTATGTGCTTAGGCAAGACGGCCTTCTGCACTAATTGAAGTCAATGACACAAGCTGCAGGGGCGCGTGAACAAACTGCGTCTCCATGGAAACACATGCGGGCAAGTGTGTCCATTGAGGAGCCTGCAGCTCTACATTGGAATTGCTGTATACACCCATCTGAAGCCCTTCACCGAGAGGGGAGGTAAAAATCCTCCCTAGACACAGAGAGGGACTCTTACTGTCTCAACCACA